AATATAAATGAACTGAACCCAACAGCTGTTCCGTTTACCCCTAAGCTCCTAAACTTCAACTGAAGCCAACGTCTTAGCAAAATTAGTTGCCAAGAACCAGTTACTGCTAAGGAGACTCAGGAACTTGAATGATGATCCGGGTAGGTACCTGACGCATTGAAGTACAGTTTCATGAATGTCACAAGTGAAATCAGTGCAACAACACTAGAGCACTTGGACTCATTAGTGAATCATCTTGGACCAGAATCTACAATTCAAGCTGAGAATATTCGAGCGACAAATTCACGGAACTCAGAGAAAGCTGACAAGGATATATGGGAAGGCTTAGACCCACGCCTGCTAATCGATCAATTGCACAACCAGCAGTTGTGTATAACAATCAAAAGAGATCGATTTCCGGTTGTGCATTAGATGCGAATAATTCCGGCGCACAGGTAGTAAATGGACCCGATTCAGGCAATAATTGATATCTTTATTAAAATATAAGAATGTGATTCCATGAGCATTTTATTTTTCTTTAATTTTACACTCTCATAAAATGCAGTAAATGTCGATTAGCGACTATATTGATTTTGAAGCAAGGGCTGGTAGAGCGAAAACGCTGATTGAAAATAGTATTCACCGACTAAAATTCGTTTTAATCTCAACAAACCTCATTGTCCACCATGAGAATGCTACAAGTGCATACTATCCACCAAAATTGGGACTTCGATATGTGTATAATTTGACAAATATTCGAGGAAAATAACATTGCTGATGCATGCGACCATTCAGTTGTGAAAGAGATCTTGGGTTATGCAAGAGATGAAGGACAAAAAGTTTCAAACTTTATGAATAAAATTAAATATTATATAATTATAACGTAGTCTTACAAAATTTAAAAAATAAAATTATAGGATTTTCTTGCAAATAGGTTGAAATTGTGAGAAAAAAGATATAAGATAAGTAAACTGTTGAAGTAGATCTGTTAGGGGAGGGGGTTAAAGTTTCAGTAACAATCAATATTATTACATTAAAAAAAATTATGTGTGTATCATTTAAATCATCAATCTTGAGTGAATTATCCAATGCATCTTTAATATGACTATTCCGTATGCAAAAAAATAAAATAAAATAAGAAGAAAGAGATAAAATAAAATAAAAAAATTAAAAAACAGCATATAAATAAACTTCTTTCAGTACGAAATTGTTAAACTCAAACATACCTTACCTTTATTTGACAGTACTGCAACAAAAGTGGAGGGAAAGACAGAATTTTTCATACTTTCATTTCATATATATTTTATAGTAAAAAGTGCTGTCTGTGAAAAAAATAAGAGGCAGGCTCTCGATGATATGTGTTTGCTATTGGGTAAGTATTTCCTGGTGTTTTGAAGCTGGGTATCCTGAATTTTGTTATCGAGATGGAAAGGATCAAGATGACAACACCACATCACAGGTGCTTGTGGACAGGACCCACCCCCCCACCCCCCGATATTCAACCCCCGGACTTGATGGACACTTTTTTTCTCACAAATTATATTTATCACATTTATTCATCATGTATACCATAGGAGAAAAAATCGTCAAAAACAAAAAAAAATCGTTCGATAAAAAATAACACAACTAAACATTCCAAATAAAATTGATGCAAAGCATCAAATCGGCCGCAAAGTTTATAATTTCAAAAATTACTCAAAAATTATTCAAATGGAGTCATCAATGAATCAATAAAAAAGTCAATGATGAATAATAAGAATTTATGCACAGACGTCGGAACCGGGGGGGGGGGGGGCTTAGCCCCCCCCCCCCACTTTTTTTCCAAACATATACTTAGTGTAGACATTGAACATTGTTTCGTAGGTTAAACCCCCCCCCCCCTTTTCACAGACACGTCGCAGTAGAGGTTAAGAATGGGGAAAGTTGTGATGTTTGTAAAAAAAAATTTTGGAACTAAACTTCGAACCTAATCACAGACACGTCGCAATATAGGTTTAAAATGGGGAAAGTTGTGGTGTTTGTAAAAAAAAATTTGGTACTGAAGTTCGAACTAACACCCCCCCCCCCCCGCACACACACACACACACACACACACGAAATAGGCATCCCCCCCTCCCCCTTTTTTTTTTGCTTGTCAGTTTTTTTTTTAATGATATAATTTTTTGTTATCACTCAGTCCCCCCTCCCCCACTTTCAATTTGCTTCCGACGCCAATGATTTATGAATGAAGATGTAGACCTCTCAAGATGAACCACATGCTGAAACCCTGGATCTTCGTCACGTGATAATACCAATGGTTTCTGCAGTATGCTAATCAAGGCGCGTAGTATGATGAAAAAATGTAAGAAAAATCTTTTTGTTGTCACATCTGTAGCACATTCAAAATAGTTTTTAATACAGTGTTGTTGAAAAACTTTTTCAATTTTTATTCACCTTGCAACTTTTACCACTTCATTATTATCCGGAAAATCACGACGATTTCCTTTCATATCTTGAACACTCCCTGGTTGGGGAGTACCTATTGTAAACTCTTTCTATTTAACCATATATTACTAATTACCCTATCAGAAATGACAATGAAATTGAAACAACAACAATAAATGCTCAGTTTAAAGCAAGTTTTTAAGATTAGTTTAAGGAACTAATGAAAAATAACGTCTCATTTCCCTATATATAAGAGATCGGTCGCTGCTGCTGAAAAATGTGCTTGCAAAAATGATTGAAAATCATTGGCGGATCTAGAAGGTGGTTCCTGGGGTTGGAACCCCCCCCCCCTTTTTTCAAAAATAGCTGGATCTGCCCCTGCAACGTTTTCAAATTATAGCCAATACTTAAAATTTTATAATTACCAAAATTAAATAGTATAAGAGGTGAATAATGAAGATTGTATAATACTTTCGTAACTTTTTATCCTTTATCTCATGCATAACCCGAGATCTCTTTCACAACTGAATGATCGCATGCATCAGCAATGTTATTTTCCTCGAATATTTGTCAAATTATACACATATCGAAGTCCCAATTTTGGTGGATAGGATGCACTTGTAGCATACTCACTGTGGACATTGAATTTTCAAGGTTTGTTGAGATTAAAACGAATTTTAGTCGGCGAATACTATTTTCAATCAGCGTTTTCGCTCTACAAGCCCTTGCTTCAAATTAAATATAGTCGCTAATCGACAATCACTGCATTTTATGAGAGTGTAAAATTAAAGAAAAATAAATTGCTCATGGAATCACATTCTTATATTTTAATAAAGATATCAATTATTGCCTGAATCGGGTCCATTTACTACCTGTGCGCCGGAATTATTCGCATCTAATGCACAACCGGAAATCGATCTCTTTTGATTGTTATACGCAACTGCTGGTTGTGCAATTGATCGATTAGCAGGCGTGTAGACCGTGAATATTTGAGTATAGAAACTCTTTTGACATAATTTTATTTACTCAATACTAATCCGAGATTCCTCTGACTCTAACCCCCGCTTTTATATTATGACTTGTGCGGGGGAGAGTCAGAGCGGACGCCATATTGAAAACTGGGAATTCGGCGAAACCAACTGGTGTCGCAACTCTGCCTACCTTTTACAACTTTATTTCGCGGAGCTAACTCCCGAGGCGCGAGAAATCAGTAAAATAATTATTTTCCTACTTGTTAATCGTCTCTAAAAGGGTGCTTTCGCCGTTTAAACGGCCCTATCACCGACAAATGAAGCATCACTTGAATTAGGTCGCCTCCTCGCCATTCAACTTCATTGCGCATGACGTCAGCACACAAATACACAAAATTCTATTCAGTTTGAAAGTAACACGTACTCAAAACACGTGTGGGGCTTTCGGAAAAATATGAAAGTGTTGTGAAAAAAACAAATAAAACAACATAGTGATGTTTTATTTATTTATTGATAAGGAAAGCAACTGTCAAAAACAACTTCTATGCTAATATTTTTCACGTGATAGTTTGTTTGCGTATTTGTGTGTGACGTCATGCGCAAAGAAGTCGAATGGCGAGGAGGCGACCTAATTCAAGTGATGCTTCATTTGTCGGTGCATGATAGGACCGTTTAAACGGCGAAAGCATCCTTTTAGAGACAATTAACAAGTAGGAAAATAATTATTTTACTGATTTCTCGCGCCTCGGGAGTTAGCTCCGCGAAATAAAGTTGTAAAAGGTAGGCAGAGTTGCGACACCAGTTGGTTTCGCCGAATTCCCAGTTTTCAATATGGCGTCCGCTCTGACTCTCCCCCGCACAAGTCATAATATAAAAGCGGGGGTTAGAGTCAGAGGAATCTCGGATTAACACAATACATGAAAGTTTTCCAGTTGACACAGAGACTCAACCCAAGATGACCCCTCATCATGTAGGAATGCGGGCAACGGCTCATCCCAGTCTGTATTCGTTGCCACGGACATCATCTCGCCCTCTGTCACTTAAGGAATCCCTATTTACATTAGCTGCAATAATGTAGCTCTCTCCCTATTTTTTTTAAATGTCAGATAAAAAAAATCGGAGAGGGCTACATTATTGCAGCTATATTTATATATACACAACATAGTGTGAACTTTATTGCTTTTTCCCTTTGGAGTCGAAGAGTTCCAATACATGAAGGAAATGTGTGCTACAATTTATTGTCTATATATCCTATTGTTCACTTCTCTTGAAACAAGTTCTGATAAACAAAACACCGAGAATACATGTTTAATTTTTGTACATATTTCTATGAATTATACAAGAATTGTCATCAATTGATTTCTTTTCAAAATCATTGGTAATGCGTGCTAATTTTTTGTTTACAAAGATCTGATAGCACTATTATCTTAAATTAAGAATATCTTGAAAAATAATCAGTAGGTAAGGTATGTTGCGTATGTCCTTAAGCTTTCTATTACTATCACTGACAAATAGGAATGCATGTAAATACCGTAAATCTGGAAATTTTTGCTGTATATAAATTTTTAGCACATTTGCGAGTTCATTGCATTCGCAAAAATATTTAAAAATAAATCACCAGTAAGAAACTGTAAAGAAAGCAGTGGTCATTCGCAAAGTTTTGAAACGTAAATATTAATCAACAGCATTTTGACCCGAATTCGCAAAATAAAATCGACGTAAAAATTTCCAGATTTAAGGTAGATGTATTTCGTAAAGCACACAGATTGTTCAATACTAGGGGAGAATTTGACATAAACACATGCTTTATAATGAATTAATTTCACAGTACATCATTTTGTGACACACTGTACCAATTAACATACGATTTTTGTACAAAGTAGCCACGCTCGAAGAATAAAGTTCAAGGTCATCTGAGAAGAGCTCCGTAACACCTGTCGTATTAGTACCACTACTATCCATGTGTAACATCAGCACCTACAGAGAAAAAGTTTACTATACCGAAAAGTCCACAAGGATTGGACCATCTTTAAGATAATGTTTGCGTGCCCTCTCCCGACTCAGAGTATAAAATTATTGGGTCAGTAGGTAGGTGGGAAAATCTTTTTTCCAGAAACTTTCAACATATTTGTTGACGTCCGGAATAAGAGGAATAAAAAAGAAAAAAAATATGCAGATAACGAAGACTTATTAAGCTCCAAGTCCAGGGAAAAATACATATTGGGAGCGGAGCAAACACGGACCTTTAAACAGGTCCAGTCCAAAGATTTTTTCTACCTACGTAGCTATCTTACAATAGCTACGTAGGTATTTAAACCTACCCAAAGTAGCTATTTTTACCTACTTTTTTTATTTTCTACATTTTGTGGCCAAAAGACTGAACTGCGCAACATGGTCATATGGAACGCCATCACTGCCTTATAGCATAAAACTATGCATTCATTATGTCAATCTATCATTACGTGATGTGAACATATCTTTACGTTATGTCAATTTTTTATGAGGTGATGTAAAAATATCTTTACATCATGTCAATGCTGCACTACATGAAGTAAACACATTCTTCCATTATGTCGGCACTTTAATTATAACTTGAAGACCAAAGTTCATTATGTGACGTGAACATATGTTTACATTGTGTTAAAACTTTATTACGTGAAGTGAATGCTTCTTTATATTATATTGTGTCATTTCTTTAATATGTGAGGTCAAAGTTGCATTACGTCAAGTTAATTTCGTTTTACATGTGTTCTATGATTAAATTTATCATTACATTAAGTCAAAGTCCATTCCCTTTTGTGTGTGTATATTTCTATTATAGCAAAGCATTATTACGTGATGTTAATGTATCTTTATTTTACGCCGAGGTCATCACAATGTGAGGTGAATACATCTTACCTTTATGTCAGTGCTTTATTACGTGATGTAAAAAAAAATTATAACATAATTTGAATATATATTATGGAGACAGTCCCGGCGTTCCATATTATATCAACACTGTATTACATTATGTCAAAACTCCATTCCTTTATGTGGATATTTAATAAGAATATGTTAACTCTTTCTTATGTGATTTAAAACTATCTTTACATTGCGTTAATTCTTTATCATGTTGATTAAAAATGTTCATTACGTGCTGTAAAATACATTTACATTATGTCAAAGTTGATAACCTTGTTTTCACGACTGGGAAGGGGGGGGTCCCGATTAATTAGGACGAATTACAGACACATTATATGGGGGGGGGGGTCTGACTTCCTCTTTTTTCCGACATAACTTTATCATAGAAAATGTTCACTGAAATTCAGCTCCACTTTTTGCTGAAGTATAAGGGTAATGTAGTATATTTGAAATTTTTTTTAGGACTGATCGAAATTGGACCCCCCCCCCTTCACCCTTTCACCCGAAATAGGATTTTCGAGTTTGGTTTTGGATTTTTTTTTTTTTTTTTGCTTTTTCTTGTACGTTATTTTTTTTCTGGCTGACAAACCTCCCCCAACTTTCAAAAACGATCCAACGTCACTGGAATTGGTTATTTTTCAACCATTTCAGGACCAGAACTCTGTTACAAAAATCTACCAGTCCCTCACTTAAATTAATTGACCATGCCTTAGAAAACATGGGCTCATATCAGTGGCGATCTTGGGTTCTTGAAAAGAGTAGCTATAGGGGGACGATATGGTGTCTAAGTTGGGGACCAGGGGGTGAAAGCCCGGAAGCTCTCAGGCTTTAGATTTTTTTATAAGACGTTTCAACTTATTTCAGTTATACTTTACGTAAAACTAATGCAATGTCCTACAAAGTCAAACCAATTGATTAATTTCGTGTATATTTTAGTCACTACAGATGGGACGGCGGGATCCCCCCTCTCCCAACGACCCACCACTGCACGTATGAAATACGATGTGTTTACACTTTTTTTTTTAAAAGAGGGTTAAAGACTGATAGAAAGCTTCTAGGACAGTGTTTTGTAGTTAGATCAGAAGTTTCGGACTTTTCAAAATAATTCAAAATAAAAAGAAAAATATTGCTGCATGACACATACTATTTGATTTGCGATAATTATGAGATTAAACGACCATTGAATTTCGACGTTAAAAAAAAACAATCGTCAATAAAGATTCCATGGGAACATGATCCTATGGAACGCCGTCACTGCCTTATAGCAGAACACTACAATTGCATTGTGTCAACTTTCCATTACATTATGTCAAAACTTTATGACATTTACTTACAGTACTAATGCGTTATGTCAACTTTCCATTACATTATGTTAAGTCTTTATGACATTTACACACACTACTATTGCGTTATGTCAACTTTCCATTACATTATGTTAAGTCTTTATGGCATTAACTCGCACTTAGATTACATTGCGCCAATCTTCCATTGCATTATATCAGCTCTTTATGACATTAAGTCAAGACAATTTTACGTGGTGTAAAGATGTTTTTATATAATTTCAACTCATTATTACTTTATGTGCACTCTCTACTATATGGTCTAAGTAGTTCATTACATGATGTGAATTAATCTTTGATTCAATATCAAGTCGCTATAACACGATGTCAGAATTTCATTACATGATGTGAAAAAATTGTCACATGTGGCCAATTCTTTACTATATTATGTCATCAATATGCTACATGACAACGGGAATCTATTACATGATGTCAATTTTCCATTACTTTTTGACAAATCATTACTATGTTATGCCATTGTATCTTTACATTGTGTCTAAAATGCTTAGCCTCTTGTCAGTATATCTTAGAATATTTCAACTCTTTATTGTGTGACGTAAGGTTTAGGTTATGCCTAAAAGTTCGTTTTGTGTTTTCAATATTACATGCACATATGTTAAACATGCAAATAGTTAGAATTAAACATATCAAATATTAAATTATACACAAGACTTAATTAATCCTTAATTAAATATCAGGTTAAGTTTATGAATAGGATCATGTTCCCATGGAATCTTTATTGACGATTTTTTTTAACGTCGAAATTCAATGTTCGTTTAATCTCATAATTATCGCAAATCAAATAGTATGTGTCATGCAGCAATATTTTTCTTTTTATTTTGAATTATTTTGAAAAGTCCGAAACTTCTGATCTAACTACAAAACACTGTCCTAAGCTTTTTATCAGTCTTTAACCCTCCATTTTTTTTTTTTTTTTGTTTAAAAAAGTGCAAACACATCGTATTTCATATGTGCACTGGTGGGTCGGTGGGGAGAGGGGGGGTCCCGCCGTCCCATCTGTAGTGACTAAAATATACACGAAATTAATCAATTAGTTTTACTTTGTAGGACATTGCATTAGTTTTACATAAAGTATAACTGAAATAAGTTGAAACGTCTTATAAAAGAATCTAAAGCCTGAGAGCTTCCGGGCTTTCACCCCCTGGTCCCCAACTTAGACACCATATCATCCCCTACTCTTTTCAAGAACCCAAGATCGCCACTGATATGAGCCCATGTTTTCTAAGGCATGGTCAATTAATTCAAGTGAGGGACTGGTAGATTTTTGTAACAGAATTCTGGTCCTGGAATGGCTGAAAAATAACTAATTCCAGTGACGTTAGATCGTTTTTGAAAGTTGGGGGAGGTTTGTCAGCCAGAAAAAAATAACGTACAAGAAAAAGAAAAAAAAAATCTAAAACCAAACTCGAAAATCCTATTTCGGGTGAAAGGGGGGGGGGGGGAGTCCAATTTCGATCAGTCCTTAAAAAAAATTCCAAATATACTTCATTACCCCTTATACTTCAGCAAAAAGTGGGGCTGAATTTCAATGAACATTTTCTATGATAAAATTATGTCGGAAAAAAGAGGAAGTCAGACCCCCCCCCATAAAATGTGTCTGTAATTCGTCCTAATTAATCGGGACCCCCCCCCCCCCCCCCCTTCCCAGTCGTGAAAACAAGGTTATCAACTTTGACATAATGTAAATGTATTTTACAGCACGTAATGAACATTTTTAATCAACATGATAAAGAATTAACGCAATGTAAAGATAGTTTTAAATCACATAAGAAAAAGTTAACATATTCTTATTAAATATCCACATAAAGGAATGGAGTTTTGACATAATGTAATAAAGTGTTGATATAATATGGAACGCCGGGACTGTCTCCATAATATATATTCACATTATGTTATAAATTTTTTTACATCACGTAATAAGGCTGTTTAAAATTAAAACTACGTTTAACGTCACCCGCGCGCGTAGGTTTATGAGAAATTCGTCTTTGAAAAAAACAAACAATTCGGAATTCCGTATGTCCGTTCCGGTTTGATTCTTCAATTAGCGACTGAATTCTGCTTCCCGTAGTGATAGAAAATGTGCTTTGATAGCCGCAGTTAAGGCAGTTGGTGTCTTTAACTCTTATTAATGAAAACTAGAGAATTAAAGAGTTTGGGACCATAAATGTAAGTAAAAAATAGATTATTTTATGATTATATTAATGACAAAGTCTTGTTTGTTGATTTTTTTTGTCAGTCTTCGAATCATATGTACAGACTGACAGTAACAGACTCTCAGTTCGTGATTCTATTGGCTGAACTTTTCATTGTATTTTGGAGAGATTCGAAAAACTTTTTTTACTGAGTGGAAACTGTGTCAAAAACCAAGATTTATATACAGTGAAAAGCATCATTTAAATCTTACTAATATGTTTCATATTAAAAATATTTCTGTAAAAATCGAAAGGAACAGTAATGAGTAAAGTACTTGATTTCTTCATAATTTATGTACCTACAAATAGCTACAATTTATGGGAAAGATAATATACTTGTCATAACCATTTGAGCAGGGAGAAGCTTACCGAAGATAGGGCCTTTCAAGTGAAGGAGAGTAAGGAAAGTGGTTGGGGTATTCCAAGATGTGAAGAATCCTGTCTTTTGTGTGGAATTCAAGGTATTAAAGATAATCTAACAGCTATCAGTATGGTCCAAATATTAGTATTCACACTTTCAAAACTTAATGCTAGTAGATCTACTACTAAGAAAAAATATGACATAATTCAATTTGAGGATATTTCAACATGAACACTTTTAAATATTGTCATCAATAATTTTGATTGTAGATATTGATCAACTTTTCCCACAAGAAGAAGCATTTGCCTCCAGGGTACCATGGACGTGTGGCAATATAAATCCAAAGGACAACTGAGGCCTAGTTAAAAGCCATTTTCCTGCACATTCAGTCTTAGACTACATTGTTTGCTAACAATAGGACTCAAACTGATTTACATACTAAGGAAAAACTCTGCTAAGGAAATTAATCTTAGGTGTTATTTCAATTAAATGCTCTTATTACTTAATTGTAATGTTTTTAATGTACTGAATAGGTTAATTTGAATAAATTCACAATTGTTTGAAAATTTTGTTTGTTTATTTTTTTCCTCCCTCCCTCGTAGGTTTTGAACTTTAGATGTGACGTTAAACGTAGAATTAACTTTAAACAGCCTAAAGCACTGACATAAAGGTAAGATGTATTCACCTCACATTGTGATGACCTCGGCGTAAAATAAAGACACATTAACATCACGTAATAATGCTTTGCTATAATAGAAATATACACTCACAAAAGGGAATGGACTTTGACTTAATGTAATGATAAATTTATTCATAGAACATATGTAAAACGAAATTAACTTGACGTAATGCAATTTTGACCTCACATATTAAAGAAATGAAATAATATAAAGAAACATTCATAAAGTTTTAACACAATGTAAACATATTTTCACGTCACATAATGAACTTTGGTCTTCAAGTTATAAAGTGCCGACATAATGGAAGAATGTGTTTGCTTCATGTAATGCAGCATTGACATGATGTACAGATATTTTTACATCACCTCATAAAAAATTAACATAACGTAAGGATATGTTCACATCACGTAATGATAGACTGACATAATGAATGCATAGTTTTATGCTATAAGGCAGTGATGGCGTTCCATATGATCCTATTTATGAATTTAACCTGATATTTAATTAAGGATTAATTAAGTCTTGTGTATAATTTAATATTTGATATGTTTAAATTAAATTATTTGCATGTTTAACATATGTGCATGTAATATTGAAAACACAAAACGAACTTTTAGGAATAACCTAAACCTTACATCACACAATAAAGAGTTGAAATATTCTAAGATATACTGACAAGAGGCTAAGCATTTTAGACACAATGTAAAGATACAATGGCATAACATAATAATGATTTGTCAAAAAGTAAGGGAAAATTGACATCATGTAATAGATTCCCGTTGTCATATAGCATATTGATGACATAATATAGTAAAGAATTGGCCACATGTGACAATTTTTTCACATCATGTAATGAAATTCTGACATCGTGTTATAGCGACTTGATATTGAATTAAAGATTAATTCACATCATGTAATGAACTACTTAGACCATAGAGTAGAGAGTGCACATAAAGTAATAATGAGTTGAAATTATATAAAAAACATCTTTACACCACGTAAAATTGTCTTGACTTAATGTCATAAAGAGCTGATATAATGCAATGGAAGATTGGCGCAATGTAATTGAAGTGCGAGTTAATGCCATAAAGACTTAAAACATAATGTAATGGAAAGTTGACATAACGCAATAGTAGTGTGTGTAAATGTCATAAAGAGTTGACATAATGTAATGGAAAGTTGACATAACGCAATAGTAGTGTGTGTAAATCTCATAAAGAGTTGACATAACGTAATGGAAAGTTGACTCAATGCAATAGTACTGTAAGTAAATGTCACAAAGTGTTCACATAGTGTAATGGAAAGTTGACATAACGCAATAGTACTGTAATTAAATGTCACAAAGTGTTGACATAATGTAATGGAAAGTTGACACAATGCAATTGTAGTGTTCTGCTATAAGGCAGTGACGGCGTTCCATATGGTCAGTATCATATTTTTTTCATACAGTCACACTGATGATGAATAAGACAAAATTTTGACCAAAAATTGATTACTTTCTGAATCGGCAATTTTACATTAGTTTCTATGCAAAATTGATAATATACGAAGTAATCATTTTTTGACCAAATTTTTGTCATATCCATCATCAGTGTGACTGCATCAAAAAATTCAGTGCTCGCCATGTTGCGCCGTTCCTGCGTTTGGCCACAAAATGCAAGTAAAGCAGAAAGTAGGTAAAATAGCTATTTCGGGTAGATTTAAATACCGTATATACTCGCCTATAAGTCGGATTTTTTTGGAGTTAATCTCTGGTCCAAAACTACATGTCAGACTTATAGGCGAGCTATAAAATGAATGGTATTATATGAGATCAGTCCCTCTAATATATTAGTTATTAAATAGAACCGACTTATAGGCGGACCGACTTATAGGCGAGTATATACGGTACCTACGTAGCTTTTAATAGCTACGTAGGTAGAAATAGTCTTTGGACTGGACCTGTTAAAGACATCAGAGGTGGGATCAGGTGCCATATGGAGGAGTAAATATCCATTGCCGACCGGTCTCTTCCGTCGTATGCACCTTGTCTCGATAAGAAAAATGAAAAAAAAAATTCGTATACAATTCAATGTGTAAATACTATATACAGGGTTATTTTCGCCCCGAAATTTCCCTGTATACAGTAATGACTTAATAATTAATATGACTCAACATTGATTAATGATAGATTGTATTTGCTGACAAGGTCATTGTATCGACCATAGAACTTGCAAAATAATGACTTTAAATAACCCGCTAATATCTTGTTTCATCAACTTGTTTGCCAATAGCTTGCCTTTAAAAATTGTTTAATTGTTGCAATCTTCGGGTTAGAATCCATAGTTAAACGGAGGCCGTTCCGTTAGGTGAAGCCAAATATAGCCAGGCCCCGTTTCGCAGTAAGCGATGGCACACAAAAGACCCAGTGATGAGTTCAGGTTTTACCTGCAACTTTCCAGTGGCACTTGATGGAGGCCCAACATGAGTGAGAAATGAAGCAATTAATAAAACAACACTTCATTGTTAAATTGCTAGAGAAGGAACATCTAAATTAATTCTAAGAAGGTTGTCTGACTATCGAAAATATTATAAAGTGCAACACGTTTTCAGTATACCTTTGACCTTTTCTTCAGTTGTTTTATATTAAAAAATTATGAATACTACATAATTGTATTCTCAAGACAGCATCTGTAATTATATGTAGAATTAATTATCTCGTTTTAAAAACCATAATTTCGATGAATAAAATTACTAATATATATATTAATATACATTTGATAAGGCCATCTTTAAAAATTAATGCTTGGCTGCCCTCTCCCGACCGACTAAAATTGGCCCGACTCAAACTTTTTTTATATGTAACCCACAAGAAGTTAATATTTTTTTTAACGACTCTGGAACAAAGAATTTTTAAAAATAGCAATGGAATTGACATTTTCTGAAAAAAAAGTCTCACCTACCTACCGATCCAATATTTTAAGACCGAGTCGGAGAGGGCAGTCAAACAATTTTCTTTAGGTGGCCTAATAATATGTTTATCTATGTACATGTAGTTAAAACAGAAACGAATTTTAAAAATAATTGTACGTCCAAACATCCTCAAGAGGACTATATCTACCTACCGCAAAACAAGGCAGGACCCAGATTCCAAGAATTCGAGATAACGATGGTAAAACAAGAAGAAAAAACCAGTTGGGACTGCCAAATCACTTCGACATATCCCTTAGCTTGTATTCCTTGTATTCGAGACATCGATGTTCGAGATAAAGAAATTCAAATGTAATCTGATACATGTAGATCTTGTACAAAGAATTTTACTTCGAAAGGCTTCATCATAAAAAGGTGAAGGACTGCAAATGTAGAAATTAATTCGGCAGTCAGCGCCATTTAGCAGGGATCTTTATTTATGCCAACATCTGTCGTGACTAAAAACTTAAAAGGCTCATCCGAAAGACCAACATCCTTTCACTTCACTTCACCTTTCACTTCAAAGTGTCATGTACTCGTCGAAGGAGCAGTTGCTATCTACTGTATTTTTTATCGACTGAGATCAGTCGCAGCCGGGATTTGAATCCACTACCTTCCACGAAGCTATCGCATTCCCAACTTCCGCTTGTCTTTTTTTTTATGTCGAGGAGGACATTGGGCAAGGACTAGACTTCTCCACTTTTCACTGTCTTGAGCATTCCTCTCCAGTTCTCCCCATGTTAGATTGTGGTCTCTCATTTCCTTCTCCTCAGTCCTTTACCAGGTGTTCTTTGGCCGACCAGCTTTCCTCTTTTCTTCTGGTGTCCATCTAGAGCTACTTTGGTGATGTCTTTGGCTGATCGCTCTATCAAAATTTGATAATTATTTTTCGCAATTATTATTATCATCACCACTTCTTACCTGCGAACTTGCTGGTTCCTCTGGGTTATCAAGATGCTTCATAGTTTTATATAGTATTGGGTGGCAGCCCAGCAAGACATCCCCACTCTTGGGATCCACCATTAAGTTGTCGGGGGCGGTATGTAGTGGTATGTCCTAAACACGTGGTAAAAATGAAAATTTAAAATGAATTTATCATTTTTACATTGTAGCAGTTTACTAGCTGTTTAATAGTATTGTAATGAATGTAAAACAGTTTTTTAAAAGCTGAATTAATAATATGGTGGATAAACCCAGGTCGTGAAATATCATGTTTGCATTACAAAACAAAAGTTATTAAAAAGGATAACTTACATTGACTTTAGTTAGTTTGTCATTCAGCTCTCTTTTGTATACCATAATTTTCTTACTTCCACTAGCGACATACACAAGTCTATAATTGGCCAAAAATAACACAGAAGTTTTCACTCACAGGCACCTGACGTTACTTATTTTTCTTTTAATAAAAAAATATACCCTTATCTATGCTTATTATTAGGTAGTGATATATTTTTTATGAAAAGAAAAATAAGTAACGTCAGGAGCCTGTGGTTTCACTCTTTTCACAAACAAAACAAAACGAAAACAAATTCTTAAAGTTAGAAAAAAAGGTTTTTATCTACACTTACCTCCCATTTTTGGAGAGAGCAATTCCATTGGCTGTATATGTTGGTTCTGAAGCAATGATAAAGTTTGAGCCATTGAAATACAAGACATGTCCAAAGTGAAGCTCAAAAAGGATCTCTAAGATATGTCTAGAATCACGATAATACAAATAGTCTGTAGTGTAAAACGTGTCAGGTCCTGTAGCCACTACGTCATTGAGTCTGAAAAATAATGCAAATTGTCTCAAGACCCATCAAAGATAGTCCAGATGTCCAGAAGCTATTATTTATAAGAAATTGCAATGAGCAGTTTTGAATAATAATGTAGCGATGAGTGTAATTTATGTGCATACGTGTGAACTAAGGTTCCAGTGTAAGTTTCCAGGTGCTTCAGTTCTAAGGTTTTCTCCAGGAATTCAAACTTCTCCACAGTATCATGTTCATTCCGATGGACCACAACAAACAACAACACTTTATCTGAAGTGATGGACAAAGAAAGAATTCGGGGGGAAAAATAAAATCTAATTAAGATAATTATTATATGGAATTTTGTTTATTCTGTCAAGTTCATGCAGAATGTTAATGTGTTTTTTTTAAGTTCATCTATTTGATGTATGGTATTAGGATATTTGCCATTTTTATTGTGCAGAATTCTTACAAAATGTTTTATAAATGATAAGAAGACAATCTGTGTCTCGCTTTAGGAGAAAAGAACTTTATCAGAGCAAATATGCTGTGTTAGTAATGTACTGAGGGTAGATGTAATGTAAACAAATACCTTAAAATCTTATCTGTGGCAAACAGTGATAATATATGCTCGTAATAAGTAAATGATATTTTATAGTACAATAATAAATATCTATAACATATCTGTATAAATGAATTGGCCACAAGATTTATTCTGTACATATTTTAAATAAAGCTACCTTCGTCCTCTAACACACTGATTCCGTGGGGATAGAAGTCGTCATAACTGAACCTGTTTCCAGTAATCCTCAGTTCTTTGACCCCCTCCTCTGGTTTCTCCATGTTAAATAACATGATCCGCCCTCTAACATTATGCTTCTTGTAATATTCCTGATAAACTCGACCTGATAAAACTCCATTTACCCCCTTCAAAATAATAGATAAGTTAAGAAACATATGATATCTATATAAAAATTAAATTAATGCCTCATTGAAAAAAAACTTACAGAGGTGATAAAAGTCAAGCCTGATTTGGTGGTCTGCATGTCCTCAGAACCATGGTCTACAAATTAAAAAATAAATGTTATAGGTTTTAGAAATCATAATATACGGTGACTCTATCGAAGGGAGATAAGAGAAAATGTCAAACAAAGCAATTAATGATATAACACGTATGTAATCCGGAATCTTATCTTATCCGGCCAATTTTTTTTAACCATTGGTGGCCGGATTAGACAAGTTTTACTGTAATATGTGCAGCAAATGAAATCTGGCGAGCTCAGTTGTATCCTATGTTACTGTGTTACCTATTCCTTCCACAATGTGACATTTCCCTGGTCTATGGTTCCACAGGGTTTTGTGGTAGTCCAGGTACAAACTGCGGAAAAATCAAAGATTTAAGTGTCTTGATACTTAATATTAGCGTAATTGACACTTTCATGCATTCAATACTAAAACTGAAAAGGTTCTCTTAATAGTACTCTAAAATTGTAAATTGTTACTGGTAGCATTGAAATAAAGCAAGATACGTCTGCACTAGAGTGCTTAATTAAATTTTCAATAATATGAGGATTTTACTTTGAAATCATATATATATATATATATAGAGAGAGAGAGAGAGAGAGAGCACAAAGAAATTCACTTTTTTATATGGATACCCACTTACCCAAAAAGCAATACATGTATATATATATATATATATATATATATATATATATATATATATATATATATATATATATATATATATATATATATTTGATACTTACACCATTTCTATGATAAAAGCAGTGAATACTGCCAAAGCAATTCCAGAGAGGATTTTATAAAGCATGAATTTTCGTTCAAAGTAGACCCAGTAAAATTGACCTATAAGGCTTGGTGTAAAATGTGGAGGCTGGAGGATCTAAATGGAGTGTTAGAAAGTTTAAGGGATGGAACTTCTTCTGAGTCAGTCTAATGGTCCAACAGGTGGAGCATTTTGGTGCAATTTAAGCACTAATTCTTGCTTATTACATTTGAAAATCTAAATTTCCAGTATTTAATGAGAACTTGTTAAAGAATACTTGTCACATTATCCAAAAATTGAAGGTGTTTCTTCTTCGCGTGGTGAAATGGTTAGTCGCGAAGTAAGGAATTGATCCTTACGTCGCGGTTTCAAGTCCGACTGGACTGTGGGACATGGAGACCGGTCCGTCGGATGAGACTGTATAAACCGAAGTCCCGTGTCACAGTAGGTGTTATCACGTAAAAGATCCCTCACTACGCAATGGCTCTGAGTGTCGAGTATTTGACAAAATTTGCAGCTCTCCACCGGCAAGTGGTGGCGTATCCATACATGTATGAATGAAAAAATTTCGAGAGGGACGTTAAACAATATACAGTCAATCAATCAATCCACCCTCACAGTTTTAATGGTTCAAAACAGAAAAAACTGCATTTAATTTTAATGAATATTAATAGTATAGTATAAGTTAACTAGTTATTGCAAAAATATATAGGTTAGCTAAAGTTTAAGACGTAAGACAATATAAACCAGAAGTGCATATCAGCATAAAAATTTTTTTAGTGATTAGTACTTCAAAAATATGTAAAAACTGGTTAAATACATAATTCAGATGCTAAACGATTCATAGAAAGAGCTTATTCACAAATATGTTATTATGGATGTCAGGGAAACTGTTTTTCATTAGAAGTACAATAAAGAAAATGCTTAAATGAAGATAGAAGCAGATATTTCCCCTGGCAACATTTTTTAAGATTGAAAAATTGATTGAATAAAAAAATTATTCATTTTTATAATTATTTACTTTATAATTGTTTGCATTAAACTTATTTTAAAGCAACCTTACAAAAGATATTTTTTCTATTGCGTATGAAGTTGAATAACAGTATTTGCAAACCCCAGGCTATCACAGGAGGATGGAAATATCTTTAAGAAACAAACCTTTCAAGTTGACGGGATGAATCTATTTTGTCTTAAGGTAGGATTCTTCTCACATTTCTTGTATTTAAAAATTAATTAAATTTTTGATGAATGAAGAGGACAATATCACAAAGTGATGGCAGCATTGAGATTAAATTTGACCGTTTAATATTAGAGGCAAGGTCAGGTTAAGGTCATTACCTTTTCCCTGGACATTAAGAATAAAAAAAAATACTGTTTCCAAACATGCAATCCCTACGTGTAATTCAAAAGATTGAATGTTTTTCTTTTTGCATAAAAAGATGCTACCATATAGGGCCTATAAGATATTACCAAATTGACATGGATAATTTAAATAAAATGGATATTTCCTAATCCAAATTTCCTCTACTTTTCTTAATTTTTTTTTTAGGATTTATTAGATATTTTTATAGGCTTCCTATATTTAACTTTTTCCAATTTTCACATATAGTAAAGTTGTCACATAAAGGTACAAAATGATACAAAAACTAAAACTTTTGATCGTTTACTAAGAGAGAAATAACACTTTTTACGGATTTTTTGGCTCAAATCTATTCTTAGATTTGAAGCATTTAAAAGCCAACATAGTTCTAGTATTTGTGAAAAATCTTATTTATTTGATATATTTTGAAACTTTAGTCCCTTATTATTAATTTAACTTACATTAACTTCATCTAGTCTTCGATTGCGTAAAAATTATAACTAAATTCAATGTTCTATAATAATTTTGAGAGGCAGAAAAGAAAATATTTTCATACGCCACCATTCCGCCAAAAATATAGTCCCTGCTAGTTTTCAAACGCAGTTTGCCATATGAAGGATACGGAGATAACAAACAGTATTCAATCTCAAAGTCCATAAAAAAATATAAAATAAGAGCAGAGCAAACACGGACCCCCAAAACATCAGAGGTGGGATCAGGTGCCATGGAGGAGTGAGCATCCCCTGCCGACCGGTCACACCCGCCGTGTGCTCCTTGTCATGATCAGGAAATAACGGGAAAAATCCGTCGACAATTCCGTGTATAAATAATGGACTAACAATTGGTGTGAAAAACGTCAGTCAGTATTTGACTCAATGATAAATTGTATTTGCTAACAAGGTCATTATATCGACTATAGAACTTACGAAATGATGACTTTAAACGAGACTGCTGATATTCTTCTTGCTTGTCAATAATTTACCTCGTTTCAGAAATTGTTCATACGTAGAGCATGCTCTTGCGTATCGAATAAACTGAGATATACGAGGGTTGTCCGTAAAGTTCGTGGACAAGCCTAAAAATTCAATAAAAGTTGAGTCATTGATATTTATTATTGGCATATTTATAATCCTTTACTTAATGTGAATTGAATAATGTAAAAATTTATTCAATTTCAAATGTTTAATTACAATTATGGCTTCATAATTAGACTTGGAATGGAGACCCGGAGCACCGCAAAATTTTAATTAAAAAAATATTTATCACTTTTTAAATTTCATTTGTATTTTAAAAAATTCTTGGGAAATCTGAAAGAATTTTACATCATGAGGTTGGCAGAAGTTATCACGTCAACCCTGCAAAATATGAACGTTCAAAGTTTCAAAATGGCTGAGCAATCAGCGTTAGAACTTATTAAGACAGGATCGGAATCGTTCAAAAAAGAGACGTTTTCGGAATAGGTGGAGCAGTGAACAGTGATAAAATTCTGCGTTGACACCGGAAAAACACCTACAGAGACCAATACATTCTGTAAACAATCGGGAAAACATAGTAAAAGAAGTCATTCACTAGTATTTAAGTGGCATATAATATTTTCGGACGGAATGAACAGTTTACAGGATGACATGCGTGAAGGAAAACCATTATTCCGAGATTGCAGTGCTTTAAAATATGAATTTCGTAACGTGATCATGGCGTATTTCCGTAAATGAAATCGTCTTTACACGGACAATGGTTGGATGATTGCAGGATATGAGACAGGCATTGTTAAATATTATTTTACGTATGAAACCAGAACATTTTTGCACATTTTTATGACTTGTTAAAGCGACATAAGAAATGTATTGATTAAACGGTGACTATGTTGAAAAAAGTTACTACTGCTCATATTTAGCTTTTGATGTCGATAACGTCAACAATTTTCGTTTAAGTGCTCCGGGTATGAGTGTGTGTCTTTTTTGTATCTGATAAAATTATAACTATTTGTGCTTTGTCTTTGTTGAAAACTTGCATATTTATAAAATGAAACATGAATTTAATGAAAATAATAGTTTCAAATATTTTGTCAATGTTTGTCCTTAATTATCAATGTTGTCCACGAACTTTACGGACAACTCTCGTATATCCTCCTTATGCAGGTGATGAAGGTATATTGCTGCATAAGTAAGGGAAGTTGACGAAAGAAAAGTTAGTCATCACGTTTATCATATAGTTTGGTTGTTAGATTACCATTAGCGTCTTTTTTAAGTAAAATATCCAGATATGAAACAGAAGTGTCAGACTCTGTGGTATCTTTTATCTCAAGCTCACCAGGATATATCGTATCGACGTAGGAATGGAAATTACCATTGTTAATTGACAATGCGTCGTCGATATATCTAAATGTAGAGTTGAAGGCCACAGCAAGTGTTTTCTTCTTTTCACGCATAAGATTTTGCATAAATTCTGCTTCTGAATATAAAAATAAGTCTGCTTATAACGGAGCGCAATTTGTACCCATGGGAATTCCAATTGATTGTTGGAATACCTGGTCTCCAAAAACCACATAGATATTGTCAATCAGAAACTCAAGCATCTTCTTGATGTCAACTTCAGAGTACTTGTGTGTGCAATCAGAATCTGTTTTAACAAAATAATTTTGCAAATGACCAATGACGAGGTAAGTAAATTTACGAGTTCCATTTTTATTGAAGAAGCAGCTGTCAATGATATCAAAAAGCCTGCATTTTAATTTGTCGTGGGGAATTGTTGTGTATAAAGTTGAAAAGTCGTAAGTTTTTAAGCTGGTGATTTTTGTAAAGTCTTGTGATTTCAAATTGTTCAAGAGTTCTTTAGAATTTTTTAGTATCCACATCTGATTCACACCACTTCTTGAATATATAGTTGCACAGTACTCTTGAAGTTTTTCCTTCACTACTTTCAATATCTTAGTGAGGAGTAACGAAAGAGGCTTGGTTGAACATTTACTGGAACATGCAATGTATCTTTGTTTGTAAGGATTCTTATGAAGTTTCGGAATCCAATATATATAAGGTAGTTCAAATTCATTTTGGCTCTGTGAAATATTAAAAATATTCAAAACTGACACGTGATTTTGAAGAATTTCTTCCTTAGAAAGGGAAGTATGAGTATAAGTAGGATTACCATTTGTAGAATTAAATCCAAGTTCTTCTAGAATGCAATTTATATAATGAACCTTACAAACGAAGACAATGTTGTTACCTGCTTTATCGGCAGGAACCAGGTACGTACTGATCATGTAATCTATCTAATTCTTTTTTCACTTCTGGTTTACTGAACACAGAAGGATAGATGGTTTTCATTTTGCCCCTCAATCTCCTAATACGCGACTTCAACACAGATCTAATACATATTATCCATTCTGATAAGGTGTCAACGTCCTCTTTTTCATATCTGGCCCATCGTCTGGCGTAATTTTCAACAGAATCCATAATATTTATGAAATTCCGACGCCAGTTGAAGGATCGGGGTTCCCTATATTTAGGACCTTTTAATATAAGTGATCTAAGGTCCTCATTACTAACTACATTTACGTCACCTGTAACAACGTGTCCAGCAGGACTATAGTTATAGGGCGAAGAAGAACATGAACACGAATGAGGATTATGTTTCAGATAGTCGGTATCCAGGCCATGTAAAGTGTTTTTGTAATTGAAAAGTTTGGAAGCAATGGTCGATTTATATTTGTAGGAAATACAAGGTGTAGTCT